TCTTCATTCTTGAACGAAGTCAGCATCCTCATTTAGGAGAGAAAGCAGAGTGAGTGCGCAGATTGCCAAAGAGGATCTCTGCCTTTGAGAAAACCTGGACTCCCATAGGTTCTGTACTGAAGACCCCTGGTGAGATAGTCAGCATTATACACAGTGGGGAGAAGAGGGAGCCAAAGCTCAGAGAAGTGAATTAATCTGCCTACTGTTTCACAGGAGAAAGGTAGAAATCTGAGACTCGGATCAGGTTTGGTTTCTTCTCAGGTGTTCTTTCTTCTGTGTGGTCCTCAGCTGAAAATTAAGGTGTATAATTTTTGACAGTTGCTATTGTCTTGCAGAGTCCTGTGGCAATTTTTAAAATGCTCTGAGCTTCACTTATAAATATGATTTAGTAAATCATTACATCGAAACCAACCAACCAAGCAAACAAAAAACAAAACTTTGGCATTATTTTCCATTAGATATAGAACACTTGTGTATTTAATTTCTCTCTATCATCCCAATAAGAGATTGGCCTAATACATAATGAATCCATATGATTTGGACATGTTTTCAATAAGTTTTCCTCTATTAATATGTAACATGGGATGCCTGGGTGGCTCAGTGTCTGCCTTTGGCTCAGATCGTGATTCCAGGGTCCTGGGATTGAGTTCCACATCAGGCTACTTGCAGGGAGCCTGCTTCTCCCTCTCCCTATGCTCTGCCCTCTCTGTTCTCATGAATAAATAAATGGAATCTTAAAAAAAATTATGTAACACAAAATACATAGCTTTTAGAGGATTTTTTTTTTTTAACTGACTCCTGATACTTGGCATGTGAAATAAGTCAAACTTAGTAAAGATTTTAGCTGGCTATTCAGAATCACATTTTTTTTAAAAAAAGATTTTATTCGCTTATGAGAGAGAGAGAGAGAGAGAGAGAGAGAGAGAGGGAGCAGAGACACAGGCAGAAGGCAGGCCCCTTGCAAGGAGCCCGACATGGGACTTGATCCCCGGACTCCAGGATCACACCCTGGGCCGAAGGCAGGCGCCAAACCGCTGAGCCACCCAGAGATCCCCAGAATCACATCTTTTAATACAAGCTGTATGATGATTGATGATGATTTTCAACCCAATATATTAATACTTACTGTAATTTTGAGGTTATGGGGAGAAAAAAGAAAAGCATATTTTGAGTATGACATAAAAGTATTCAATAAATGATTACACTACCAGTGATTAAAAAAATACTGTTAATGTGTCAATGTAACTGGAATTTAAATTGCTATAAGTTATAGAAAATACGATATTTTGGCAAAAATTACACATAAACTAATAGACTTTACTTTGAAATAAAGACTATTTGTATTTAAAGTAGAGTTATAGGCTTCTCAAAACTGGGGTTTCTTAGATTTTGACTTTTGCCTGTTGCTGTGAAGGAAGCACTGAAGTTCTTTAAAGAAGAACAAGGAAGGTAAATTGTGTATGGATTTGGCATTCTTTGCAAGGTCATATAGATTTGAAAAGGAAACTTTTAACAAATGATCTAAGGAGGTGAAGAGGTTTAAAAATGTTATAGTCGCGTTGGCGATCTGTGTTTTCTTAGTTTCTGTGATATTATCATCAGTGGGTTCTGCTCCACAGATGAGTAATACTAATCAACTTCATATATTCATAAGTACTTTGGTTAACTTCCCTGCATTTTCTCACTCTGCGGGTGGAGTTTTCAGGGTGGAGTAATTACTTTCTTGCCTCCTGACAGACGTGAGCAAGAAGAAACCCAGGGCCAGGGTGACCAATGTCTTAAAACACAAAAGAGCAAGAGTTGATGCAACCAACATGTGGACATTTTATCTGAAGAATTCATTCACCATTAAAAACATTTTAATCCAAGGTTATAATTTTTTCTACTTTGAGAAGTGCTAAACCCTTCAGTAAAAGAAGGTTTCCAGAAAAGGGTGATATCCTTACATCACTTTCCAGGGCAATTCTTGTGCTAGGTTGACACAGCACCAGCAACTCAGATGGATGTGGAGAGAGAATCCTGTCTTTATGCAGGCTTCACTTCCCACTGACCTTATGCAGTAGGGGTTTAGTTTAGGCTTCGTAAAAACTGGTAATAGAATAACTTTAATTAATACTCGTGGTTATTTTCAGGGCTTAGTAATATCTGAAATATTCTTTTGCTCTGACTAGTGACTAAGGGGGGACTTAAGTTTTTACAGATGTGAGGTATAAAGCTATATAAACTAAATTCTATGTGGACTGTCTAGGGGGCTCAATCAGTTAAATATCTGCCTTCACCTCAGGTCATGATCTCAGGGTCCTGGGATTGAGTCCCGCTCCTCCCTTTTCTCCCTGCTTGTGTGCTCTCTCACTATCTCTCTCTCTTTCAAATAAATCAAGAAAATCTTTAAAAAACCCTAAATTCTATGTATTTAGCTTGTCCAAAGGAATAAAATAAGGATATGCAAGAAAAATTAATTTGTGTAGATCTCAGAGAACTCTGTGCCAGGTGATGTTTAATTATGTGTTGATGGAAATCATTGTGTTAGCCCTGAGTACTCATCTTGCTTATGGTAGAGTTTGATCCAAGCCATGTAAACAAAATTGGTTTTTCTAAATTGTTTTCCCTAGGTGATTTGTGCTTATCTGCCAGAAGTTACAAAACGGAATGATAAAAATTGTTTATCTGCCTGTCCGTCTGCACTCAGTTATATATCCCAGTGCTTCACACATTTCCGTTTGCCAGCAGGACTGCCTCTGTAGCTTTGTAATAAAAAATCTGGTAGGGGATTGTTGGCCCCAAAGATGGGCAAACACACAGGTGTACGTTACTTTCTTCTCAGAACATAGTGGCAGATAAGCACCTGCTCTGCACATAGGAGCTTCCATATAGAAAAGTCAGAAGGACTCAGGGGATCTGAAGACACTTCTCCAATGGCCTGCAACAGGATCAGCTTTTTTTCCCCAGTTAGAAAAACTTGGCGAAATCTATTCAGTAAGAAGAAGGATGGAACTAGGAGTGCCTAGGTGGCTCAGTCAGTTAAGCATCTGCCTTTGTCTCAGGTCATGATCCTGAGGTCCTGGGGTCAAGCCCAGTGTGGAGCTCCCTGCTCAGCAGGGAGCCTGCTTCCCCCTCTGTCCTCCTCACCCCTCCCCACTCGTGCTCTCTCTTGAGCATGTGCTCTCTTTCTTTCTCAAATAAATAAATAGAATATTAAAAAGAAAACAAAGGAAGGAACTATTATGTGCAACATGGTTGAAACTTAAAATCATTCTGCTGGAGTGAAAGAAGCCGCACCAAAAGAAAAAAAAAAGTACATGCTCTAGGATTCTATTGTTATAAGATTCTAGGGAATGCAAACTCCTTTGTAGGGACAGAAAGAAGATCTGCAGGTGCCAAAGAGTGTGAGGGGTGAGGAGAAGAGATAGGGGCAACAGGCAAATGGGTAGGGTTACAAAAGGACACTAGGAAACTTCTGGGGGGTGATGCATATATTCATTGTATTGATCATGGTGTTGGTTTCATGGATGTATACACATTGTCAACGTTTATCAGGTTGTGGGTGTATATATGTGTAGTGTAGTGTTTGTTATAGCATATGTATACCAAGAGAGACAAGTATTGTATTACTGGTGTAACAGCAATCAGTTATCACTTGCTATAGACAGCAGGTAAGTAGGAAAATAAAGGCAATTAAAATAGAACAATGAAAGAAAAGCCTACCTTGTCCTTTGTCATCTGGGGCATAAGGGAGGTTCTCGTGTTTCATAATTCTGTTCCCATGTGCTCTTTGATTCTTGAAATAGCTTCTTTTGATGGGTAGGAATTGCATTTTAATTTTTAAGAGAAGGAGTTTTGGAGTTGGGCTGACCTGGGTTTGGCCTAGTCTTTTGCTAGCTGTATGCCTTTTGGGCAAGACACTTGACCTTTCTAGTAATTTTTTTCCCTACCTGTGAAGTGGGCTGACAGAGGCAGAGTAAGTCCTCAATAAATGGGAAAAAAATTGTTATTATTATTTTTTTAATTCATTTCACATTCTGATTCCCACAAGGTTTAAAATGCAGATAGTCTTGGGTGAGAAAAGGCAGTGTTTTCAATTCATAGGAGGTAATGTTACCATGGAGAAATGGAATCACAAATGTTGCTTAAAGAAGAAGAGAAACATCATTACACAAAGCGAAGGGAGCACGGGCAGGAGCCTGTAGATAATTTGTTAGCTGCCCACTTTCCTGTTTCTCACCGTGGGCATCTAGCTACCAGGTAACCTCATCTGGTTTTCCCGTTTGTAATGACTTCTGCTTTTTGCAGGCATTGTTTTTACTTCATTACTTTTTCCCTTTGTTAGTTAATAACATCATTGTTTATGAGTGCCATGTTCATGATTGCTTGTTGAGAAATTCATTCTAGCATTTAGGCTGTAATAGTTTGTTTTTTCAGGTGTATGACTATTTGTCATTCCTCTGTAGAACAAAATGTTTTGACTTTCAGGATGTTTTGTTTACATTTATCTGATAGATCTTATTTAAGTTTTATTCGTTCTTCTAAATCTAATTTAAAAATTAATTTACATACTTATAGAAACAACAGTTGATTAGCTTATCCTAAACTGTCATATTCTTGATAAGTAAGTTTGCGGAATATATAGTAAAACTCTTTTTTCTTTAACTCTGAAAAGATACCGTTTTCACTTATAGAACTAGCAGAATCACTTGCTTTCCCATGATCTTGACCTAATTTTTTCCCTCTGCCAGGTGTTTGCAGGGATTTGACAAGTGATTGATTTGGTTTTAGAGGGTCCTGGAGCTGCACAAAGTGTTTTTCATATTGGAAAAGACATGCCCAGTTTTTCACAAGTTTTAAGATTTATTGCCTCCCCCTAACATGTTGCAAATGAGTTTGTTTACTATTTATTTTACTCAGAATGTCGTAATTGTTGTCATTAGCCAAAGGGCAGGCTTGATCTAAGGAAGGATAGAGTGTCTTTTAACACGGTCTCTTTTTCTTTGGTATCTTTGCAGGACTGGACATTAGATGGGTAGATTGCTACTTTCCTTTTACTCATCCTTCCTACGAGATGGAGATTAACTTCCATGGAGAATGGCTAGAAGTTCTTGGCTGTGGAGTGATGGAACAGCAACTGGTAAATTCAGGTAAAAAGGAATCCAACATTTTATTTATAGGCTTTCTTAAAAAAGACTTTCTTTTCCTTGAAGTTCATTTCCATACTCATTTTCCTGTGTATATACCCCTACAGGGGCAGCCTCATCATCTTTCTCTCCTGTTGCCCTGCCGACTTATCCCTGACACTTAACTCTGGAAGGACTTAATTTCTCACATCTAATTTTGCAAAGATTTCTTTTTGGGGGGCATCTTCCTTGTTAACATTTAGGTGTTTGACTTCTACTTTATAATTTTATATTTCTTGATAATGTTGCTTTGCAACTGCCCATAGGCATTTGATGCAAATCACATGAGTGCAGTTTGTCTTGCAAATTATTTAAGAACCAGACCAATGTATAATCCTTTTTGTTCTTATTTCATTTATAACAGTGCCCAAAATTCAAGATTTTTCCAAAAATATGACAAAAAAATATAAAAATACTCAGACCTGCAATGTTTAGTTGTTTGCTGCCCTCAGTGTTGGCAGTACCACCTGACTGAGGTAAAGTGGGAAAATGAGGCCTCTCATTAAATCCTACCTGTATCTGCAGGTACTTGAGAAAGATCTCTACAGCTCTTCTCTGCAGGACCGTTGCTTAATAAAAATGAGTATTTCTAAACTTAACCTCAGAGCGGTTTTTTCTTTTTTTTTTTCAAATCACTATCTGAATGTAATTAAAAAATATTTTTTTTTCAGAGTATAAACCCTCCTTGGGAAGTCAGTGGGGTTGAGGGTGTGAGCAGGAGCTCTCTGTGTGAGCTGTAAGCAGAGGGGAACTGATGTGGGTCCCACTGCACCCCTCCCCCCTTCCTATAGTAGGATGTTTGCTCTGTGGACTTGGAGGGCAGTGGCTGTAGTTCAGGCTTCGTCACAGGGCCTCGGGCATCAGAATGGAGAAGAGCGGGCCCTCTTGGTGACTAAGACATGTGGAGAGATCACCGCTAAGGTCAGGTGGTTAGATATTAAGGGTGGAGTGAGACAGAAGAGATAAGATGGCCAGGAAGTCCAAGATTTGTGATGTCCCGCCTGGGAAACTGGAGGCCTGGCTTTCCCTTCTTACCCATAGGTAACCTCTGTCTGCAGGGCCTGGACTCAGCACACACATTCCTCTCCATTCTGCCAAGGAAAGCGTTGGCGGGGGGGGATGCCTAGCACAGTGCCAATGCTGCTTGGATGCTTTTCAAATATTTGAAGGACCGACCTACAGAAGAGGGACAGAGAGGTCTCATTGTTAAGGGCTGTGAATAAAAGTTGTAGGTTTGGGTTCGAGTGTCTGTCTTAGGTTTTCTGTCAGTTGACAACTGTGTGTCTTTGGGCAAGTGCGCCTTAACCTCTCCAAGTCTTAGTTTTCGCATAGTTAAAATGGATGCAATGAAACATCCCTCAAAGTTTCACTATGAGGTTAATCGAGGTGACACATGTAACATGCTCATTTAACCACAGGGTCTGGCACATAGTAAATCTAGACTAAAATTAATTGCTGGTTTTTTTTCCCCCAAGTCATTAGAGCCATTTATCAACCGAGAGTCCTCCTTAAAAAGGAAGTATTTAAACAGAGGCTGTCCTGCCTATCCCAGAAATGATTTCTAATTAATTGGAACTTGATTACTTCTTTGATCTCAGTTATCTTCGTATCCATGATTCTAGTTTGAGTGGTTTAGGAAGGAAAAAGAAAATTAACTGTAAGAGACAACAGGAAAATCAGCCTAAAAGGTGTATACACATCTTAGTAGGAAATACAAAATATTGGGAGCAAATATGTAAGATTTAATCTCTCCTTGAGTAGGAGCTAGCTTCAAATACTTCTGTGAGGGAACCCCTGGGTGGCTCAGTGGTTTAGCACCTGCCTTCAGCCCAGGGCGTGACCCCAGGTCCTGGGATCAAGTCCCACATCAGGCTCCCTGCTTGGAGCCTGCTTCTCCCTCTGCCTGTGTCTCTGCCCCTCTCTCTTGTGTCTCTCATGAATAAATAAATAAAGTCTTTGAAACAAAACCACACAAATACTTCTGTGGTGTTTTTTTGTTTGTTTTGTTTCTTAGAAGATTTGAAGAAATCCCAGGCTCCCCTCTCTGGAGCCCTTGCCCCTGGGAGTGTGTGTTGTGAAGGATGGGAACTGAGAAAGCCTGTTAGGGGATGATCAGCTCACATGTCAGTTGTCACTAGGAATTGTGCTTCCTTGTCTCTCTTCCAATATCCTTGATGGGTCTTTATGAGGTTTATTCAGATAGTAATTGGCCGAATATAGTTATCTAAAACAGGTCTCCAAGTCATTATTGCACATTAATGAGACTGCTGTTCTACAATTAGATCAGCCATGTCAGGTATCCTTGAAGGAAATGACAAAGTGAAAGAAAAAGAAATTATACAAAACCAAACCAGGACATCTAAGATGCAAATATGTTAGGTTCACAGTTGCGGTAGAATATGCTGTAAGTTGGTGGGAAATTGTACGGATAAAATTTAAATATCTTGCAAGAGAAGGAGACAAGAAAAGGGAGAAGAGATGATTTTATAAAGAAATTTTGTGTGGGCTTTGCTATTTGAACTTGAAGTTATTGTGACAAAGTTCTGCTCCGTGTTCTCAGACTCGGATGTGTTTTGACATCTGGCGTTAAATTTTAAACTGTGTGCCTGACAGTCACTAACCACAGGCATTATTTGTAAGAACAGCTAATTTTCTGTTTTCTGAGTTCCCGTGGCCTGGAGAAAGGCAGACTGTGCACACGTCATCCCTCTAGTTCTGTTTGCCATTCCTACTATCTCTCCTCTGATATTTCCTTCCCTCTCCTCTCCTCCTCCCCTCCCCTCCCCTCCCCTGCCATGTAAAATAGAACTCCCAGGGGAACCTGCTTGGCTCAGTGAGTTATAAGTCTGACTCTTGCTCTCAGCTCAGGTCTTGATCTCAGGGTCGTGAGTTCAAGCCCAGTTTTGGACTCCATGCTGGGTGTGAAACCTACTTAAAAAAAATAATAGAACTTCCAAAAAAATACTGAAATTGATGGTTGTAAATCTCCTTCTTTACCGGTCTCATAGAGGTGCCAGTAAATGCTGAATTAACTGAAACCAAAGAAACTGGGATGGGACGGTGATAACTTGCTGCCACACGTGGCAGCCCTTCCTCTGAAAGGCAACCCTTCTGCACTGAATGAAAGCTTTGGAGACTTTCTTTCCTTTAGCCTTGAGAACAAAGCTCCAATGTTAGGCACTGCTGTTAATGCCATTCACAGAGCCCCAGAAAGGGACCATGCTATGCTACCCAGATAGTAAACTGTGTGATTTTGAAGTGTCTAGAAATCCCTTTCAAAGCAATGATTATGTCTAACATAGAATGAAGAATTTGAAACCAAATGAAACAAACAACAGCAAACAGAGCTTTCTTTGTTCTGTTTTATTTGTTACCCCCAGAGAAGGACGAGGCCATCATGTATGGTATCTCCTTTGATAGAAGGCATTTAATTAAGAGTGATTTTAGATTGCTAATATGAATAGTCTGTGAAAACACTTTATTACACTTTTAAGTTGACTTTGGCATAGACATAGGTTTTTGGTTTCTTTTTCCTGGAATAAGATAAGGCTCTTCCACATGGCTTATTGAATTTTACTTTATATTTTCTTCTTTAATTTATAGTGTATTCACCTCTGCTTTCAGACTTCTTAGATTTAGTAATTGCAATGTGGGTGGTGACTGCTGTCATGATGATTTGATTGGTTTTTCCTTGAGATGTTTTGAGGGCAGTACTGAGTCACATCCCTGAATACTACACCCTTATTTCCCGTTGGGCTGACTCAGGCTGCTAATGTCTTTTCAGGTAATATATGGAGCACAAACATCTAAAACCGTCGCCAGGGGTGACTGTAGGCCATGATCGTGCCAGAAAGGAATTTACCATTTATTGAGCCCCTATGAAATTTAGAAGATTGTACATAGGCCAGGGAATAGAAAAAGCCCTGTAGTGGAAAATAACTTAAAAAATGGAATCTCTTCCCTTACCTTTTGTTAAAATTGAAAAGTGGGCTCTTCTTTTGGGAAAACCTTGTAAATATGTACATGAACAGTGTCCACTTTTAACAATCTTTCTTTGTCGTTACTGGTTTTTTTTTTTTCCACTGACAGTCTTTTTATTTATTTATTTATGATAGTCACAGAGAGAGAAAGAGAGAGAGGCAGAGACATAGGCAGAGGGAGAAGCAGGCTCCATGCACCGAGAGCCTGATGTGGGATTCGATCCCGGGTCTCCAGGATCGTGCCCTGGGCCAAAGGCAGGCGCCAAACCGCTGCGCCACCCAGGGATCCCCTCGTTACTGGTTTTTTATCTGTCATATTTTTCTTGAATTCCTTCTAAGGCTGTAGAGAAGCAAAATAAGCAATGTTTGGCTTTGGGAATAGCATAGTGCACACAGACTTACAAACAAGTGTTTACAATACCATGTGCTAAGTATTTGGAACAGAGGTACAGCAGGCAAAATGGGGAAGAAGAAGAGACTGGGGAAGATTTTGCCAAGGCCTTGTTCTAGTTACTACATTCAGGAGTGAAAACCTGTTTCCAGTCTGTTACTGTCATTGGTAGTCAGTCTCTCCAGTCTATACGCACACTTGTGACATTAGTGTTATTAATCTAAGTTGGTGACCTTTTAGATGGCATCAACCAAGATGTGTCCCTAATATAAGCAGACTTGCCGTTCATCTGCTTAGCATCTTTTGTGGATAAGGCATTGTGCTAGCCAAAGAGGAGGACACAAAAACCATAAGATGTGACATCTCCCTGTAAAACATTGAGTGTAGTGTGGAAGATAAGACTATATATTTAGAGCATGGTAACGTAAGTGCCATTTGCGAGATGGAACTCTGGAGTTAGGAAGAGGGAACAATGTCCATCAGTTGGATCAGTAGAGGTGTCGGAAAGGAGGTGGCATTTGAACTTGGCCTTAAACAGTCGTTCTCAGTATGTGGCTGGTAATCACCTGGAGAGTCTATTTAAAATATCTTTT